AAAGCATAGCTTAGTGACTGTAACATGCCAAAAATCCAGTTTCTCAGAAGTAGTACAACTATTCTTGTCAATGAAACTCAGTTCCATTGTTCCCATACCATGCAATATGATACAGCCAGCAATACTCTCAAATATACCCTTACAACACAAAACATCTTGTAGAACTGTTTCTTTCCCGGTGCTCAATGTAGGCCAGTGTTAGAAAACTCAGAGTCCAGTAGAAAAGTTACTCTTAGGAGTACAATGTACATATCTCTAACAGTCACAGGATCTATAGGAAAGCAAGGCACATCATAAAGTCACGATTACTCTCAACTGAGCTCTAAAGACATTCCCTTCTATTATGAGAAATGTCAAACTTGCAGAAACAAATTAAAACAATAATATGAATATACATCATACGCATACTCCAAAGAGATAATTGTTAACATCTTACCTTTTTGAATAAGTTATAAACATCAAGACACTTCACCACTTAATACTCATCATATCCTAATGACTTTCTCCTACTTAACCATAATACTGTTACCATACCTAAGAAAAATGAAAACAATTTCCTAATGTCACTGAATATAGTCAGTCTATACTGAAAATTTCCTCAATTGCTCCCCAAATGGCATTTCAGAGTTGATTTTTCTACCCAAATCAGGATCAAATCAGTATTCAAAAATTATTAATTAGCTGTTATCTCTCTTAATCTAGAAAGATCCCCCTCTTTTATTCCACATTACACAGATACTTTTAAGTTTTTGTGATTTTTTTTGAGTTGGAGGGTCTCACTCGGTCATCCAGGCTGGAATGCAAGTGGCACAATCACGGCTCACTGCAGCCTCGAACTATCCTCCTTAGTTGCTCAAGTAGCTGACACTACAGGTGCGTCACCACACCCAGCTAAGTTTTCGATTTTTTGTGGAGATGAGGTACTGCTGTGTTGCCTAGTTGGTCTCAAACACTTGGGCTCAAGTGATCTTCCTGCCTTGGCCTCCCAAAATGCTGGAATTACAGGTGTTAGCCATTGTGCCCGGCCTTCAAAGATATTTTTGAAAATAACAGCTAAGTTGTCTTGGAAAATATCCACATTTTAGACCGAATTCTGTGGCTCAGTCTGTAATCCCAGCACTTTGGGAGGTCAAGGCGAGTGGATTGCCTGAGCCCGCGGGTTCAAGACCAGCCAGGACAACTTGGCAAGACCGTTTCTCTACAACAAATCAAAAAATTAACTGGGCATGGTAGCGCCTGCCTTTAGTTTCAGTTACTTGAAAAGATAGCCAGAGTCCGGCAGGTTG